GGGGTTTCATCCTTCCTATTTTTTTTTTCCTTCTTTCCGCAGTTTCCTGCACCTGGCGATTATTCACGAGGAGAAGGGCCTGAGCCTGAAGGCGATCCGGCAGATGGCCGGCAACCAGGCCTTCCTCGACTTCCAGAACCACCTCAGCCAGGTATGGCCGCTTCCCAGCACGCGCTCCCGGTGGGCGCTAGTGGGGGCAGCGCCGAGGCAGCCGTTGGAGCAGCTTCCTCCCAGCCGCGGCCTTCGGTGCCTGCGTTTTTCCCATGTGATGCAGCGGGTTGCACCCCACGTCGCTGTCGTGTTAATGATACCCTTTATGTGGTGCCTGGTATCTGGAGAGAGCACTGAGCTCCCGGCTTCCACATGGAAAAGCAACTGTGCAATATAGTGGGAAACAAAACTGTTGGGGGAGGTTGTTTTTAACTGGACAGGAATCACCCACTGATTGAGGGCCCATTTGTGCAGACGCTGCTGCTGTGTGCCACGTTGCTAGTGTCACTTACCATCCTGTGGTTTCCTCCTGCCTGCAGACTGCGCTTCACCTGGCCGTTATCACCGATCAACCTGAAATTGCTGAGAACCTTCTGAAGGCCGGATGTGACCCAGAAATCAGAGACTTCCGAGGGAACACGCCGCTCCATATCGCCTGCGAGCAGGGCTCCCTGCGAAGCGTCAGCGTCCTCACGCAGCACTGCCAGCAGCACCACCTGCCCTCTGTCCTGCAGGCCACCAACTATAACGGTACGCGCAGCCGGCCCTGCCCGAGTGCCACTGTGCTGCCCCGAGGACAGGGCTCTTGTTCCAGGGATTGCAGAGACCTCCAGAAAGGTGCAGGAGGTTGAGGAAGCCAAAACACGTGGCAGTGCTCAATTTTCTTAAAACTTCCCTGCTTGGCTTATAGGCCTCCTGACCGATGATCACTGTCTGTCACAACTTCAAACTCTGCATTTTTAATGTCTGCTTTTGCAGAATTTAATGAGCTCTGAATATCTTATTTCAAGTGTTTCCAATTTTTGTTACAATAATATGGAGACAAACACTGCAATAAAGACAAAGCTAAAAAAAACCCCAAAACTACTTCCTGCTGTCCATACATATTGGAAGTTGGAAGGTTATCTTAGAAAGCACCCCTTTGTCTTGGATAAGTTATTCTGTTCTCCTGACTTTAAGTGAAAGATAAGGCATTAGATCAGAATTTTTCACATTTGACCTTCATTTGTATTTTACAGGACACACATGTCTCCATTTGGCATCTATTCAAGGATATCTGGCTGTTGTTGAATACTTGCTGTCCTTAGGAGCAGATGTGAATGCTCAGGTATGTAATTCATTTATGGAGTTAACTGAACAGGGTTAAATACTCCAAAGAATCAGTAGTTCTGGCACTGACTTGCCTAGCTTTCCTAACGTGCAACATCTTGGGTTGTTTTCCTGCAGGAGCCATGCAATGGCAGAACTGCACTACACTTGGCTGTAGACCTGCAGAATTCGGACCTGGTGTCACTTCTGGTGAAACATGGAGCAGATGTGAATAAAGTGACCTACCAGGGCTATTCCCCGTATCAGCTCACGTGGGGAAGAGACAACACCAGCATACAGGAACAGCTGAAGCATCTGACCGCAGCTGACCTGCAAATGTTGCCAGAAAGCGAGGACGAGGAGAGCAGTGAATCGGAATCTGAATTCACAGAGGATGAAGTAAGTAGCTATTTGCACCTTTTCATAGGAAGGGCCAAATCCTGCCCTTTTATATGCTTAAATTGTATTTTTATTGGTGCTCTGATGACATATGGGTGACCTGTTACCTATGTAAGTAATACGGTCAAGAGTTGGCAGTTGAGCCAACATAAAATCAGTTTCACAGAGCATGATTCTCTCAACATCGTCCTGTTGCTGATACCTCCACAATCTTGTGCCATACAGTTTAATTTGTTGCTTTCTCCTCCCCACCATTTACTTCTCTAATTTTCAGTGCTGTAAACTGCAAATGAGAGCAAATGTAAACCATTGCTTTGCAGAAATTTTGCACACTAATGAAGTCAGGGCAAGCAGAATTTGACCATTTTTGCCAAGTAGATACAATACTTGCAGAAAGGGCATTAACAGCATTTTTTTTTTCTTCCAGCTTATGTACGATGACTGCCGTATTGGAGGACGACAGCTGGCATTTTAAAGCAGAGATTTCCTGTGAAAGGAAGTGACTGTGTACATATGTATAGGAAAAGGACTGGCATTTTTCTTTAAAAAAATTAAAACGTGGAAGAAAAAAGTACTGAAATACTACACTGCCCAGCAAAGAGCACCTAATTGTAACTGCAAGGTTCCACGTTCTGACCTGTGATTAGATAACAGGAGTGGAATATGCAACATCATGTGATTATTTACACCACTTGATAAGGAATCCCATATCCACACTTACATGAAGAAAACGGACTACAGATCCAACATATTATTTACAGAAATGCATTTAAGATCTGTCTATAGATGTTAATTACTGTGAGGAATACTTGCCCACTTAACAACAAGACTGGCTTATATAAATGTCCCATCTTCCTGGAAATTGTTTCTTAGATTTCTGTTCGGCTGGTGATACTTCACCTACTGACTGACCTCAGCTGCTCTTTGTGGGTTACAGCAACCAGGATCAACCAAAGGAATAACCTCCTGGCTGTTATGGGAGAGGTAGCAATCACATTACCTATTGGCATTGGAAACGATATGTGCCACACAATGTGTGTCATAATTGCTACACTTAATTGTATAGCTTGTAAATACTGTATATTTTGTTTATAATATTTTCGTACATGTGAGACATATTTATTAAAAAAATGTCAAATTACTGTGTCTGGTCTGTGATATGACTCACTGTCTGCCTCCTTGCCCTGGTGTGGGATCCATGTGGGCCTGTGGGCATAGATGCCCCTGGAGTGTTAGGTGGTTCCCTTCAGTAGGAGTAAGGTGCCTACGGCTCTGAGCTCTCGGTCCTTCCCCCGCAGTTAATTTTAGAATAGATGAGGTTTCCTGCACCCTTTGTCATGGGGGGGTGGGGACGGGATTCCCCCTCTGTCATGCAAGTGTCAAACGGCTTGGCCTATAGAAAGATCTGTGACACCATTTGGTAGCAGCCTCCTGACCTGCTGGTACCCTCTGTTCCAGCTCTGAGCCCTGCTGGTGCAGCAAAAGGGCCACAAAGCTGCTTGGTGCTACTGCATGGTGGGGGGAGCCCACCATGGTGGGGTTTGAGGGGGAGGATGGAGGTTTGCAGAGTGGCCCTGTGCCTGGATTTCCTCCTGTTTTATCAGAGCCCTGCTGCAGTTTGGACTTGGGCTCCTTTGGATTTTCCAAAGGGGATTTCCACAGGAAGAGGAGAATGCAAGACATGGAACAAGCAGTGCTTTCTTCCAGCGTTGGGCCTCACCTCTCTCCTCGTGGCTGCCAAAGCTACAGCACTCGTGGTCTGTTCTATAGTGGACTGTGTCACCTTAACCTCTTTTATTTATTTCTGAGTGTTTACCCAGGCTTTAGTTAAACAGAATTATTTCACTCAAATTTCCATCTGTATCTGATCTCCTTTCAGCACTGTGTCACACAGCAGGGTTAACTTCAGCTGCAACTACCGGATCACTGTGCGACCACGTAAAGAACCAGCTGAGTGCAGCGTGACCGTGCCCTTTTCCCAGCCCGGGTTACATGCCCTCTTCCTCCTGCGTTGCAAGCCCCTGGATCGGGACAGGGTGGAGCGGAGCTGCTGACGCAGAACCCAGCTCTGCCAGCGGAGTATCCACCAGCGCACTCCAGCGCTGCTGGCCCCTGGCCAGTCTCTGGCTACTCATGAAGGCAGCAGCTCCAGATTCATGGGGACATCCAGTCCTTTCCTTTAAGCAAGGTCCTGGCTTTGTCTCTTCCTGAGGGATGCCTGAGACATGAGCTGCTGTAAGTAAGACTCTTAGGGAGGGCTCTTCGGTATGAGGAAGAGCACCTGAGCAGGCAAGGCTCTTGCTAATTTGCATTGGAGCCAAAGGCCATTGTGGAAATGATTATATAGAAATTGTCATCCTGAGTCATTTTTATTTCCCTTGCACTCTCATTTCATTAGTATAGGCCAGGTGTATGCACCAAAACTTCCTTACTGGTGATAGGGCCATGCCTAATTTCAAGCCTGCAAAGTCTTCCATCACTGGGGCTGGGTGAGAATTGAATAAGCCATGGGTGTCCTCCTGCCCCTCCAGCTTTTGCTGCTACACCAGCAAAGAACCCCAAGAAACAGGCAGCCTTCTTTGATGAAACACCCCATTGTGGTGGCTGAAAATGGGAAAGGCAATCTGCTTTTCTCACCTTGCTGCACCTCAGTTTCCCACTTCCAAAAAACATGGGCTTAAGATGATGTCAAGGCTCTGTAGAGGCTATTGCCATCCACAGCTATGAGTGTTCTGGAAGTGCTCGTGTACACAGCTGGAAATAGTATGCAAATAGATAGATACCATCTGAATGCAAACAGTCTATATTCTAAGGCCAGAGGAAGGGAGGAAAGAAGGAAAGGGCACAGTTATCAGTAGTACTGGACTGGTCAAGTAGTTTTGGAGGCAATGGTACATTCTCTGTTGCACATTGCAACATTTGGATAAATAATATCTTATGAAGGAGCTATTATTATTGTGTAAGAATTCTATAATGACTTAATAAATAAAGCAAATGCTTTACAACATAAGGAAGTTTTGCAGCTAAAGAAATCATTGCCAAGGTACTGCATGCTGCTTGTGCTCCTGGTTGTCTCCATCAGTCACGCAAACATAGCAAAGTAGTGTATGCTATACAAAGTAGTGTGTACAGAGCAACCACAGTTAAAGCAAGCAGGACATTCAGTGTGACAGAGACTGAGCAAGCAGGACAGAGAATGTGTGTTCCTTAGAAAAATGAGTGTGGGCATATTGGGTATTGGTGGCCACTTTACAGTGTGCATTGATAACATGGGGCTGTTGGGTACAGTGCTTTGCCTTTTTACCTGAGGATATAACTTGAGCATGTTGGAAAAGTAGATCAAAGACAGTCATAGGCGTCTCTCACACATGCACACTTACACATGCACACACGTGCACAAGTAAGGTGAATTCTGAGCACATACTTTCAACCATTGCACATTATTGTCTCTATTTTTTCTACACCCAGGCCTTTAGAAATCTATTCTGACACCGGTTTTGGTGATAACCTGCCTTCTTGGAACTTTCTTGGCATTATGGTGCATATGTCTCAGGGTCTCCTTTTTAGGATTCTGAGTAACAGCTCCTTAACTATCCATCCTGCTAGCATCATGCTTTCCTTTTTCACCACACAGCTGCCTTTAACAGAGCAGGTCAGGTTGTTCTTGCCTGCCCTCTCCTTCCCCTTGTCTCTGGCCTGCAGAAAAATACAAAAAGGCGGCAACACTAGTAGCACTTGATGCACTCTCCTAACTTCCGTGGTGCAACATCTGTGGCTTAACAGTTTCTGGAGATGGAGGTGCCACCTGTTTATGTAATGGCTCTGGATGGAGCCTGCTGGCGCGTAACTGGAGAGCTGCGTCTCAAGTCTCCGTACCCTTCTGACGTGGAAGGGACCGCCACAGCGCGGCTGCCACGGTGTGAGGAAGTGCGCGCCAGCTGCTTGTTTTGAGCTGGCTGCAGGATATCTTCCCTTGAAATCCCCCGGATTTCTGGCTGATTCACATAACACCTTCTGCCTCGTGTTTGTCCTGAGGTATCAAAACATAACTCTGTATCTGCCCCCCTGGAAGGCCAGCGTCTTCTGCCCTCACACCACCTGACTTCCATGCAGTTGTTGGGGCTTCCCTCAAGGGCTCCTGTGCTCCCTTTGAGGCACGGCAGGGACACAGCAGTACATCTCTTTTCTTTCTGATGAAATATTACTTATTTTCTTGTCACATCTGCTGTTGCCAGCAGAACCAGGCAGCCTCTTGCCATTAACCTCCTTCCTCTGCTCAGCTCTGTAGCTGTTTTCTTCCTCAATCTCCTTGCCCCACAGCACCAGTACCCACCTCATCTGAGCCTCTCTGCTCTCCGGTCAAGCTCTCAGTGCCTCTCTCAGGCTCCTCCTTCTCTCCCACTGCATTTGCCTCACTCATTCACAATCTACTTCTATAACATTGCACTGCATGAGGTTACATTTCTGTTTCCAGCCTCTCCCACATAGCCCATTCTTGTACATCTCTTTGATAACCCCTCCAAGACACTCCTATACTTCCTTAATTTTCACACGGAGAACTGAACTCCCTATTTCCTCCCACACCCTCCTTCTCACTCTTGGACTCCAGTTCCCTGCAGGCCTCCCTGTCATCCCCAGTCATAACCTGGAGTTGCTTTCAGTTCCTTTTCTCCCTTCTTTAGGCATCAGCCCTGGACTTCTCTGGACCCCTCTGCGTGCACCAGGCGTGCCCACACATGGCAGTCCTAGCAGGGGCAGCACTGAGCGGGAGCACAGCCTGGGGTGCTCTCCCCCCACTCAAAAGGGACTCCTTCCCTTTGGTTCTCTGCAGCTTTTTGAAGAGCAAAGCAGGGACAAAAGGCAGGTGAGTGGGAAGGCCAGGCCAGCCCATGGACTCCATCACCATCCTAGCCTTGGTTGCTACAAGCAAAAGCTTTCCTACCCTCCCCTGCTGGATGTCCCTCAGCCGTTACCTGGCTATGTGACACTGACCTCCTTGTGTATAGCGTTGGCTGTCTGAAGCATATGTCTTGTGTAGGCCCTCTCTTCACATGGTGGAGCAAGAGGTGGAATGAACGACCCTAGGAGCTGCCTTCTCATCTAACCACAGGTTGGGACAACTCCCAGCATGACAGTCCCAAATCAGGGATCCTGACTGATGCCCTCTCCACCATCATCCTTCAGCCCTTTGATCCTAATTAACTGTTATAAAATAACCTAAATCCTAATCCCTCCTCATTATTTGGCATTTTACACATCAAATGTAGACACAGGGGCCAGTGGGCAGCATTTACCAACCACCTGCTTTCGGTGCAGCCTGTGTACATGTCTACTGCCTGTCCCAGCAGGACCCTCAATGCACCAAAAGGCAGTGGGGGCTGCAAGGACCCTTATTCTATAGAGAAGAGCCCTGCTGCTGCTCTATTTGCCCCACAGCTTTGGTTCAGCTCTAGTTAAGAAGTGAAGTGGCTGAGTGAGGGAGAAAAAAACGTGCAAACAGCAATGAATTCTCCATAAAAATACTGTGATGTGTGAAAAGCAAGG